CTACTTATTTCCTTCTGTGTGTGCAAACAGTGTTTGGCTAAAGCTGTATGAGCACTAAATGTCTGCTATTCTCCTCACAGAATGTAAACTGTTACTGTATAATTCTAAGTCTGTTAGCGGTTACACGCATGCACCCACAAGCCCACGCACCTTCCCAAAACACACACATAATTGCCACCATTGCGCACATCCACACACTAAATGTGATGTGGTATAGTGAGCTGTCAGACCGCACTAATTCCTCTTTTTATGTGTGTCTGTCCTACTGTGTAGCAGAGGGATCAGGATTGCCTTTCAGGATAACAACTGAAGCTCTAAGCTCTTTGTGTGTGTGTGTGTGCGCGTGTGTGTATCTGGGTGAACAACAATTGGCCGCTAAGCTGCAAAGAACCTTGCAGCCATGGTGTCGCCAACAAATATCCACTGGCTGTCAGCAACGGACCAACTCTGAGTGTGTGTGTGTGTATAGCCAACTTCCTGTGGTGGATTGAAGTTAAGTGCCGCTATTAGACTTAGGCCTCCAGTTGGGGCTTCATTATCTGGGTGAAAGACTTGATTATGCTGACAGATACACACACGTGTGCAAGAATACACATGCATACATGAACTCTAGCACACACGCACGCCTGCAGGTCCGACTTTTACCATTTCCAACATATGCAAAGACTTGTCTGCAGCTTTTTCTGCACAAAGACACACACGCACACTCACACGCCCTTCATCTCCTTCACACCCACTAAACTGTTATGACAGATGCATTCTCCAGTGTCTCCTTTGCTCCCTCTATTTGCCTTCCTGGCTTCTATAATCTCTCTCCTTAAGGCATAACAGTAGTTCAGCTGTCACCGGGATGGAAATGAGTTACATAAGATTTCGTTTTTTAACCACAGGCACGCCCCGTAATTCACCTTGTAAAGCTTCGCATGTATCCTAGTTAGTGAATATGAGAATGCAACACCAAACAAACAAAAAAAACCAGGCCAAAGTTCTCATACAATAGGAGATCATTTTGGAAATATTCACACCAGTGATGAGTAACGTAGGAGAGGGCGATGAAGCGGCCTCCTAAGGCATCACATAATCCATATTCATACCAAAAACGCCACTAGTTACTTCCTGTACCTCGAACTGCACAAAATGACGTATGACAGTAGCAAGAGGAGAAACTCAGTGGAAAGTAAAACCACAGTCAGGTGGGGGGATGCGCTTCAGCTCTGAGCTCTAGATGTGCCTCTGCCGCCCACATCGGAAAACAATTAAGAAAAGTTCAGCTTCTGAGAAAACATTTTCACTGGTAGAGAAAAGAAAGGTGTGGTGATTTTTTCTTCTTTTACACCTACATTCTGTGGGGTTGAAGCCTCACAGCCTCTTTAACACCACCAGTTGAATTTATTCAACCGACTTTTCTCCCAAAGTAAAGTGAGTACATTATAGGTGTATATACGTCGTATTACAACAGATAACATTTTATTTTAAATCTGAAATGGATGGTTTTGGATTTAAAAGCATTGTGTTGTGTGTGTGTGTTTTTTTTTAAATTCAAATGACTTTTATTTATATAGCGCTAAACCACAGTAGCAGTTGCCTCAAGGCCCTTTATATTATGAGGTAAAGACCCAACAATAACACAAAGAAAACAGAGAGAACCCCAACAATCATGCCCCCCTCTGAGCAAGTGCTTTGGTAACAGTGGGAAGGAAAAACTCCTTTTAAACAGGAAGAAATATATCCAAGGGATTTTAAAAGAAATTCACTGTACTTTTCTGCTGGGACAAAGAATATGTAAATACATTGTCCAGTCCAATAGATCCACATGTGAAATGTGAAATCTACAGAGCCCCTGAAGTCTCTTCATGTGCATTTGTAAAAACTGTCAAGTTTTAAGTTTGATCAATTTTAATTAAAACTTAAGCACACATTACATTTTCTTTCAAGCCTCAACTTCTGTGGTTCTTTATGTTATTCTAAGCATAGTACTTTGTACCTTAACACAAGGGAAGAGCTAAAACTTGTTGGAAACATAAGGGTAATTTGCACTTACTGGCCAATTTGTTAGTTACAGGTCTTGAGCTGCTTGCTAACTCGAGTATCTAATCAGCGGTTCAATTCATTTATTTCATTGACAAAGATGAAGCCTGCCCTGTAACGAGTGTTCATGTATGTAATGGTAGGGGATACTTTCCTGGCAAACTTTGGGCCTCCTTAGTACCCACTCAGCACTCAAGAATTGTTGCTTCCAGCAAAAAAACACATCATGAAGATTCCATTTAAATATCTATGTACATATATATATTTAAACATGTAGAGACCTGGTGAATTGAAACTGAAAATACGACATCACTAGGACTAACAACCCCTCTTTAACAGATTCCTCCCCCCCCCCCCAAACCAAATGCTCTCCCCTGACCCCCAACATAAAGTTATAGTCAAATCCAATACAAGCAAGCTGTACTTGATAGTGTCCAGCGAATGCTTGTGTGTCATTAACATTAAACTTTTCTCAGAACCCATCCTGTTAAAACTGTAGTGGAAGTGGAGAGCAGGAAACCTCCGTTTTCATTAGTGATAGCATTTATGCAAGCGACAACATTTTCATTAAACTGTGAAAATGTAATTTCCTGGAGTGCAACTAACCGTGTTAGATTTCAGAGAAACAATATCTTGTCCTGTATCTTTTTTTTTTTAAAATTAGTGCAGATAGTGTGCTACATAAAAGTGTACCAATACAAAAATCCAGATGGAGACATACTAATCACCAGGGTGAAAAATTCACAGGCTTTTGACAGCCAAATTACACTTACATTACTCTTACATAAGCCCTGTAAAGCCTTAAGCATGACATAATTGCCAAAAAATGTTTTGTTTTTTTTGAAAGTCGAGTGCTTTTTTTTCAACCTTCTGACAAATTCAAAAAAGAGAAATTAAATATCACTTTGTACATATGAGTTTTAACTAGTGTTATATTTGCCATCTGGCATTTTTGTGCCAAATCGACAAATTGCACAATACATAAAAATGTGTTGTGTAATTTCTTTAGGTTTTCAGGGGTAGGCAGAATAGTATAGCAAAGTGCAAGTAATCATTATTTACATATGGCCCTGCAACAATTCCGGGGCCAGGGCCATGTGTCTTTGTGATCTTAATATGTTTGACAGTTTTCACAGGGTGGTGCCCGTCTCCCTCAATTTCCTCTTCTGCTCGTTCTTGTTCTCTCACAGTGGTGTTTGATTGCTTATGCCTGGCCGACCTTCAGACAGACAGACAATGCATCCATGAAGAATAGCCTCGCTTCCTTCCTGTCTTCCTGTGCTGCGTTCTGCCTTGGTGAGCAGGGTGAATAGGCTGCTCTGCCCCACAGCCGCCATGAACCGCAGGGGCCACTGCGGCTAAAACCAACAAAGAGAGCCGTTCTGGGACCTTTTTTTTCCCTCTCTCTTCCTCCGACCCCCCCTCAGTCCTCTCCGCTGCCAAATCACTGCGACAAGCTTTCCCTTTCTCCTGCATTTATTCTTTTGTGCACCAACTTTTACTCTTTTTTTTGCTTTGTTTTTGGTCCTCCTGGTCACATACATCAGTAAAGCACACTAGTGGCTTACCTTCCCTCTCTAGTAATGTGAAACCCTTAAAAACCCAAAGAAATGACTGAGTGAGCCAAATGAGATACATCTTCCGAAGATGCCTTTAATCTAAACGTGACTTCTGCTAATGCAGAGCGAACATGCAATAAAGGGGATTTTTAAAAAAATGTATTAAAAAGAAAGACCTGGTGAATTTGAGCTGAAAATAATACTTCTCAGTAGCATTAACAAACATACTCTTCTTTTTAACTGACCCCCCCCTCCCTTATTGAACCCAACCAACTGCTCTCCCCCTACCCCCAACAAGAAAGCCATCTCCCTATGGGAATACAAAGTAGGAGCAGGTAGCAGAGAAGAGCGCTGGGGAGCCAAAATAACCCCCCCCTCCCTTCAACTATTGAAAACAGGATGAATGCATGCCGGGCTGAATACAGGGGTAAACTGTTAGGTCTTTGTCATTCAAAGTGATGGTTTTAACCCTTTGCAGTCCCCTCTTCCTAACAACCCACTCCTTCTGCCTCACCCACCCTTCCCTCCTTCATTCACAGCTGAGATAATGGAGGGGTAGAGGCCTGTGTCTGCAAAGATGAAGCCTAAACACGAGATCAACTCTCTTTTCTGTCTCTAATGGGATTCTACCCGTTATGTTTCCATCTCCTCTGCCACCGCTGTAAAATAGGTGAAAGTTGATAATTATGTAAAACACCCCCCTTTCCCCAATCAGTCAAAGGCTTTGGATGAATAACAAACAAGTGAGTGCAGGTTGGGCCTCGGCATGTCAATCACTTCCCTGAATGCATACCGCACTGCAAACACGTCCGTATGCTGTCAACAAGTGTCAGGGGCTTTATGTTTCAGGCTTATGTTTCCCCTGCAGGGACACTCAAAACCAAGGAATTCCTGAACAAACCTTTGATTAAAGGAAAAAAAAATAAAAAAATAGGGGACTGAGTATCTGCAGGCTCCTGTGGATCTTGCATGAAACAAACCTGAAGCCCGGCCAGAACGTAATAGCAGGCTTACATGAACGCATATTTGCAAAAACACAGGTGGAGTGTTCGACTTTAGAAGATGAAAAAGAGGCGACGATCGCATTCCTGCACACACGGGCTTTACTGGAGGCTTTGTCTAATGAGGTGAACATTAATGTGTTCCCGTTTCCGGTTTTGATCTCTCTAAACAATTTAAGCGATTGCGTTGTGGGGAAAATTCCAAAGCACCGGTTAATGACGGCCCCGCTTCGGATTTCGTGCTGAGGCTCAGTTAAAAATGTTGAGAATGTGCACCTTAAATTATATGAAGGAAAGTGTAAATCTAGATGAAACGGAGCTGCTCTTATGCCACAGTAAAGAGAAGCATATTCAGACAGTGAGAAACACCAACAAACAGGAACAATACACAAAAAAACAGGAACAACTACCGTCAGACTTCAGGGTTGTTTAATGTCAAACGTTAATATATTTGTCTCCTAATCCAAAGTGACATATTCATCCAGCTTTGACACTCGTACAGGGTCATCTCTGAGCTTGCAGTGACTACAGAGTGACCCCTTCTCCCACAAAGAGGCGAAACCATTGATGCCTTCTCAAAATAAATATTTTATCATTATAAAATAATAAACCTTCAAATAAATATATAGTTTTAACTTTACACTAGGCAATGTTGGAATTAGAAAATAGAATTTTCATATAAGGTCACTGTACAATTTACAAGTAGAAGGGATAAGATCTTTCTTTTGTAAATTACATAAACGTGATTAAGAAACATTCCAGTGAATGTAAAACAAAATTTCAAACAAACAAAAAAAAAAGGTCAATTATCTGATTCATATACACCCATTAGCCAAAAACATTAAAACCACCTGTCTCCCTTTTCTTAAAAAACACTGTGATTAATGTTGTGTCTGGCAGTGGGGACACTGTCATGGGTTGTGGGTTGGTGACTTTGTTTCTGATCAGTTTGGGATATTTTAACGTGTTCTTTCAAATCGTTCCTGAGCAGTTTATGAAGTGTGATGGGAACACTGTCCCCTGTCCCGGGGTGGGGCTTTGCGTAAACGACGTTTAAATGGGCGGTACGTTTCCCGGGCAAACCTTATACTGCAATGACATCATTGCTTCGCTTGTCAGTGGTTTTAATGTTGTGGCTGATTAGTTTAGGTATGGATTCATCAAGGTGCCTCTGGCATGGCAGAAAACTTTTCCCAGTTGAAGTATTATGTACAAAAATAAAACATCTGTTCAACTCGTTTTCTGACGTACGCACACCGTTTGCAATTAAAACTTTACAGTCAGTAACAGGAATCTGTTCTTAGCATACAAGTTGTATTAAATGTTAAAACAACAAAAAGAGAGAAGACACTATCTGTTGGACTCTCATAACAATAAAACAACGAGGGCACTTGAGTGAACAAATTTTCAGGACATTAAAAAAAAAAAAGGAGGAAAAAAAGACAGTAGTTGAATATGTCTTCATACCTTTAAATGTAGAGCGCTTCTTTTGGTTTACCTTTCAAGTGAAACTCCTAATGCTAGGGTGAGTGAATGCACCTCCCGTGCCTTTAGTACAGAGATTTTTCTGAGCCCACTTTAAAAAGGCAGCATATTAAGGCGATTTTTCAGCAGATATTGTAATGACCTAGATGAAAAATACAAAACCTTAAGCACAACAGCATTATTAGATCTCTATTAAAACCTTTCATCTACACAACTACATGCCTATCGAGTTGAGCGAGCGTAGAGCCATTCCATCCATCTCCATTTCAACACACACACTACGTCTACGTTGGTTTCCGGACATCCTCATAGTGGACTGAATTTGAGTTCTTGCACCGACAGCCGGGTCGTTTGGCTCTGTCATAGCAGCACTGACACACTGCCATGCATCCTTTAACCGGGAGGTAGCACAGGATACAGGGCAAGAACAAGGAGAGGAGCGACACGGTGACCCAGCGGACGCAGCAGTGGGACTGCGTGCACGAGAATGGCTTGTCCGTGCACGTGTCCTCGTCGTCGCTGGAGCAGTGGTAGAAAAGGCCTTTGATGCAGCAGACGCACGTCCCGTACTCCACTGCACTATCTGCTGAGCACACGCACCGCCGGCCGCACATCCAACAGGAAGGGAGCACCCGTGGGCGACGGCAATCTGAACACTGACATCGGCCGCAGTCCTCACACCTAACCGAGTGTTTACCTTGATTTCTATTGACACTGCTGCTCGTCATCACCACTACTGGCCTGGACTCCTCATTCAGGGGTTTCAGCTCCTCTGAGTTCAGTTCGGAACGGTTGGGCTGTGTTCTGATTATCTGGTCGCTGTTCTCTGGGCTGCCGATAAGCCTCTGGTCTGAAGAAACGCTTCCCACGCTGGTCCTGATGCTGCTATGGGAGTCGTCTACACTGGAAGATTGCATAGCACCCGGCGTGGAAGAGTTTCCGTGCAGGTTGCGGAGATTATAAGGCCTCTCTTTTTGAGTCTCCTGCTGTTCACTGCCTCCTAAGCCCTGTGATGTATCCTGAGTACCTGAAGACTTTTGGGCAACAGTGGGCCCTTCTGTGTACTCATTGCTACTCCCAGTTATCCTAATCTGATCCAGAGACAGCACTGGTTCAGTATGGGGCAGCTGTCCTTTGTTCAACCCGGGATTTGGAGGACCGTCATCGGTCTGCCGAGTCCGTGGTTCAGAGCTCCCTTCGTCATTCAGTGTACCCGCTGGCTGGTTCAATGATGACCCCCGCTGCCCTCCTCCCCCGTCGCTGTCGTTCTGACTTCTGGAAAACATCTCGTGACTGAAGGGCCACTGTGGCTGGCAGGGGACACATCTGAAGTCCTGTCAAAGAAACACACAGTTTATATCCGTATGGAGTGGCACGTCATGCAAATTATGCCATGCAAATCCTAACCGATGTCAGTACGAGCACCACTATGGAAATTAGGTCTAACAAACACATCAGTGTGGCAGAAAAGATCTGTTAGATCGCACAGTCGATGTAATGTTTTAAGTCACTAGCTGCTGTCTGCTGGGGCCTGCAGAATCAATTTTATGAAGGCTTCCTTTGAATCACAAGCGAGTCTTTGTCTGCTCTCAAAAGGCAGGATAACCAAAGGTTGTTTGCTCAAAGCTGAATCTAAATCCACTCCCAGACCTTACGTTTATGCCTCTGATATTTGAATTTAGGTGCTTTCCGGCTGCTATTTTGTGAAAACTTCCTGTTTTCTCACATGTATGACAATAACTCACCATATCTGAAGAGAGAAAATTTGCTTGCAGCTTAAAACAACAAAAGAACAACACTATCCTGCAGGTCTGACTTACAAGGACTCACAATTTGTTATTTTGCGAGACACTCATCTAAAATGAGTCTTTAAAACAAGTTGTCAAACAGGCATTTGAATGCGTGTGAAAAACGCCCAGACTGCAATGGGGACTGAGACACACGAGGTGAAATTAATACCAGCTATGCAATGCTGGTAATGAATTGATGCCGTGAGGTCATGCTGCTGAACATGAAGAATCCTGCCCCTGGTACAAGTCCTACCACAGACCCTTGCTGCAGCGCTCACGCTTCCTGTCATCGATCTGGCATGTAACAAGGCTTAAAATGGCTGAAACTTCAATTTCTCAAATGATGGCTCTTTTGGTTGGCCATTTTAGTTTGCGTACTATATGCATGGGAAAAATTCACTATATTGTGGTATCTATTTAAAAACAACCCCCACCCCCCAAAAAAACGCAATAAAAACAAAGCTCGCAGACAAATTCAACTACAGCTTTGTTAACTTCGTTAAACTCAATGTACCAATGCAGGCGGCAAGAAGGTCTAAACACTCCTATAGAAAATTACAAAATTATTCATGAGATTATAAAATTGTACATTTTATAATATCTCGGTTATCATTAATACACTGCTTTTGTGACACCCCTAATAAGCTTTATGATTAGTAACGCACCTACTGTTCCAGGTAAATCGTGATCTTAAAAAATATATTTATACTAAAATATAGATTTCCCTCCCCTCCTCTTCTAATGGACATGAAGAAAAATTTCAGGTCATCATTCATCACAGCAGCTTTGTTGCTTATGTCAGTCAAAAGGCTGATAAAATTAGGCCTATTATAAGTGCATCACTAATCTGTCAGATTGAGCTTCGGGGCATGGCGATGTGCAATTTCTACCTTTAACCTTTATTTTAGAAGGCAAAACGTTAAAATAACCAGATTATAGCAGCATCAATACATCAATTAATGCTATGACGGTTGTTTACCTTATACTCAGAAAAGCCAATCGGTTGCTTGGTAGTCAACTGTCAGATCTGAAATTGTCGTTCTATCATAAGATGTTAGAAGACATCACCACTGGCTGAGGAAAAGTAAGATATTTTTCACTTTATTAACCTTCCAATAACCAACACGATCAGCCAACAGTCAAAATATCGTCTGACACAGCAAAAACATCAGAGGTAAATTACGTGTCAAATAACATGTTTCACATTTTCTACGCTCGTCTCTCACAGGGTCAACATTTCCATCGTTAGAGGTTGCATACGCTGATGATCAAAGTTCATTTCTTTTTTAAACACTGAAGACTGATGTGGGTCAAACTGATAACTCAAACGAGGAGTTGAAGCGCATGAAAGAATGCATGTAAGAGGAGAGGAAACCAACTTCATTTCTATTAAACTAAAAAAGAAAAAAAAAAACAAAGCAAAGAGCCCCAAGTGTCTAATAAGAGTTTAAGATGAAGCAAACCAATACAACAGCTTCGACTTCCCAACTACTGGATACTCACCCCAGATCAGCCATAGTTTCCCTTTGAATGTATTAACAAAAGTGCTCTGTACACAGGCTCATTTTCACCACCGCCTCACACCAAAGTGATAGGGTGGTGAAAACGAAAAAAAAAAAAAAAAGGTCTTGATTCTTGTGCTCGTGCTAATTACCTTTTAAATGCAATCTTTTTCGAGAAGTGGAGGGACCAAGGCCACCCCTCCTTTCAGTTACAATACAGGAACGGCTTTTGTTTGTTCCTGTGGCAAGTGGCAAATGGCCTGCAGCAACCTTCCCCATTCGAGCACATTTTTACATTGTTAGACAGCTGAAAAGATGATGAGTGACAAGATTTGAAGAAGAAGTTTGGAGCAAAGAAAGAGGCCATGTTAAGTGGGAGTGCACTCAGAGGGTTTGTGTATGGTGGGACATCTTTGGGAATATCTTGGGTTCTTTTGGTTTTATAAGCCTGGTTAAAACAGACGCCTCCACACAGGAGTCTGTGACAGTGGGAGGGAAGCTGGAGCTCTGTGACAGGATCGAGCTTCCTACAACTAAACAGAGCATCAGCCAAAAAGAAAAAAAAAGACAAAAAAAAATTGAATGCTGAGTAAAACCAGAAAGCCCAATAACTCGCGCGGGTTTTGATACGCAACCGATAAGCGCGTTTCCACTGTGTGCATGAGATTTATAATGCAAACATGCAAGCGTGCGGCACGGAAAACACGTTTAAAAGAAAGAAAAGCTAAGCGGACAGCTCGCAGCAGCGGACGGAAACAGTGCAAACTGTGAGTGCACGTATGAGCAAACACGTGCCAACTTGGGCACTGCTACTTCCTAATAACCAGACACCAGCGGTCAGGTGAACAATTAAGCTAAATGAGTCATTAGTCAGAGCGAAGGCGGTGGCTAATTTTAGAAGTTAAAAGGGGAAAAGGGACCTTATAAACTTAAGAGGGGGAGGATGACTAAGATAATGAGCTCAAAACTAAGCCAGCAGCTATGTTAAAACCATAACAGTGCATGTATGAGCCAAGTGCAACCTAAAGGACGGGAGTGACAAAACCACAGCTAAGAAAACTGTGAGGGGGAACAAAGTTTGTTAGTCCAAAGCTTCAACCAAGAGCATGCGTATTGTTAAAAAAGAGAGAAAAAAAAGAATAAGAACTACACAGGTCACACTTACCGTGCTCGCGACACTTTCAGACCCCCGTTTAGGTGAAACAAATCCAAGTTGAGGGGGCGAGTATTCCCTGCGGCAACACTTCAGTCGGGAAAACCGTCGGTAAAATCCATTGACAAAGCTTCCAGACGGAGCGCTCCTTCGGGAGAAGCGGCGCTAAGATGTAAATCCCATGTTTTTGCGCAACAGCACGAGGCGTTAAAGCACGCGATAACTTCAAACAGCCGCCGCACGATAAAGTTTATTAGCAAACTTAAAAAAGGAAAGAAGAAAAAGACGGGAACTAGAGAAGAGAAGCAGGCGACAAATCTCCCATTTACAGGTAGTTTTCACTCCGTGTGTTTTATCCGCGACGCTCAGAACGTCTCGCAAGTACTTTTTTTTCCTCGCGTGTGAGTGTGATTTTTTTTTCTCTCTCTCTTTCCGGAGAGGTCGGGATTTGCGCTGTATGTGGCGTCAACCTGAAGAGGGGGGGCAGAGCGCTTGTTGTGACAGCGGATATATCGCATCCGGTGCTCAGCCATTGAATGCCAGAAAGTAGCCATTCACACCCAGTCTGATCAAGCCGATTAACCTCTTTGGAAATATGTGTGCTTGGGCCCGTAAAGTCTTCAGTTTCTTATAGCTGACACATTTTTTTTTTAAATAAAAGAAGCACGTTACAGAGCAGTCCCCTGAAAATAATGTGTCATATGCTTACCATATGAGGGTGTTTATAGGTTGCAAATTAACAAAATGTCAGTACATTTGATTCGTTTTTAGCTAACTTTACAGGGTACATGGGCAGCACAGTATTAGTATTTTCTGCTTAATGCAGTTTGTGTACTTTGTGAAAGTGAAAAAATGTAACGGTTACATTACATTACATTATGAGAGAAGGTGGGTAATTGAGCACATCTTGTGAAGTATAGTATAACTGCTAGTGCTTTTGTACATTTGTGTAACATTATGTTGCTGAATATTGAATTAACCTATATTAGGATTTATCACCCCTTTCCAAGTGCAAATTATGGCCTCAGAGTTAAAATTTGTCAATATTGATTTTGTCCAATAAGATAAAGTTATCCCTCTTCAGTTACTGTTTTTGCTGGAAAATGAGATTGACAAGCATACCAACACTAAAACCTGCCGTAAATGTTGCAATAAGATAGAGTTTGTAGTTGCAAGCATTTTGCCGCCCTGCTTTTACTCGTGTGATTGAGCCGTTAACTTGCTCAGAGTTAGGAGCTCGGGTTGTCGAGCTAAGTGTGTCCAATGTTCGATGTTTTTTCAGTTGAGGCAGTTAAATGTAAGTCTACTTCACTGACATGGTCTCGGGGTGGTGGTGTGTAAAGAAGACCTCTCTTGTTTGTAATATTCCCACAGTATTTACATTTTATTTGAGAAAATCTTGATATTTGGTGTTCCTGTACAACATTACCATGTAAAATATCACGATGCTATGCCGTATCAATTTTTCCTTTTACCCTTACTGCTTAGGTAGCCTTTTTCTACTGCTGTCTTTTTTTGTGCTACTTCTCAGTGTTTATGTAACAGCTAATTTCATTTTATACATGATTACATTTTCAAAATTTGACTATAATATAACAACAAAAACATATAATATATAGAGTACATTTACTCAAGTACAGCACAAGTTCACTTCGATTCCACTTCCTTTCTCAGGGAGATTGTGTACTCTTTAATTTCAAGCAAACAACTACGGCTAGATGCCAAACTGTTATACAGCCTGCAAATTGTGACTGTTTATAAATTGTGACTGGATGGTGTGGCTTTATTTATCGAAGTGCTTGCTAGTAACTGACAGGGATGCTTTTGTAATTTTACTTTGAAACACAACATCACTTCTTTTCTTTTTTTCCCACACTCCCAAGTCCTTAATGGAAAACTACTGTCTCCCTCTAAAATCAAGGTAAGCTGAAGACAAACTGTGAGATGCAGTGCCAGATGGAGTAGTTTCACATACTCATATTGACTTTCCTTTGACGTACAGGGCACTGAGTTAATCTTACTGAACACCTCAGGACACTTTTCTTATTTCACACCTTTTTAAGCTCTGCTACCAGGCTGCTATGGATTTAAATCCAAAAGCAATCAATGAGAATTGATACAACTAATTAGCAAGTCAATACTGTAGTTACCCCAGAGCTCTTGTGAATAATTATAAAGTGGCGCCACTGTGTGGCCATCTCCATATACTACAGGCTACAATCAATCGCATGTGGATTTTCTAATATAATAATAGGTTTAAACTAGCTTCAAAATCAGTCATATTCCTTTAAATGACTATGATAAATGCATGGGTACCAATAAAGAAAAGCAGAATGGCATAAAGATGATATAGGATGCGGATCAGTGAGTCTGGATTTAGATTCAAGGATGAAAGACTGAATGGTTGTTATTTAGTAGTCAAGTCATACACTTATATCATCTTACAAAAAGGCCCGGACAGACTGTTACCCGCCTTGTGTCCCTGCAAAATAATAAAAAGAGCAATTAGCTTGTGTTCAGCGAGCCTGAACTCAAGCAGAAGAGATTCAGTGAAAACAATGGACTTGGACATCTCCATTCCCCCGTTTTCCTCTAATTTAGTAATAGAGTGTCTGATCAATTTCAGACAGAATAATTATGAAGTTGTGAGAAGCACACTGATGAGAGAGGTCACTTTAATCAGCTCAGTGTATGACTTGGCAAATTAACTTGGATCAGGGTCAGCAGGCTCTCAAGACTTCCCACTTTCTTTCTACAATTTGTCTTCCTTTGTTCCTCCCTGGCTGCTCTTTATTTACCCTTAAAGCTTTGTTGTTCTTGATAAAATGTTACATGTCTCCAGCAGCACACACATACACAAAATGAGCCAAGGCACAATCAAGACTTGCAAAATAATTCTGTTTATTTAGGTGCTACATATGTAATTCCCCCTTTTTGGTAATAAACACTTTACGTCACTTACATTTGATAATTTAGACACATTCTGTTGTTGTTTGTTAACTATCAAACATCACATTTTCAGTTAAGCTCTGAAACAACCAGATCTGTTTTTTCACTATGTCTGGTCAGACTTGATTTTTGTCCTTTTGTGTGATTATTATTATTATTATTATTATTATTATTATTATTATGTTGTAATTAGTGTGTGAATTCTTGTGTTATGGCTGAAAGTGTGTTTCTTTCTTGTCATAGTGGCCTTTGAAACAGTCTACTCAGCTAATTCTTTATGTTTGTGGCAGTTTGTTAATATGAGTTGTGCAGTTGTGTCAGTTTCGGTAGGCATTTGCTTACGGAGAAGGGTTATCAACCTACGCAAACATGCTCCCATGCAGTTCTTCCTAAAGCTCAACAGCACTTAGTTTGTCTGTATAATGGCATGAAAAAGTATTTGCCTCCTCTTTGACTTCTTTTTCTTTTCTTTTTTCTTTCTTTCTTTCTTTCTTTTTTTTTTTTTTTACATATTTCTCACCTTTAAATGTTTCACCTTATCAAACAACTTTTAATATTACACAAAGTTAACCTGAGTAAATATAAAAATGCAGTTTTCAAATGATGGGGAAAAGTCTCTGCCAGCCTATGTGGCCCTATGTGAAACTGTGAAACTGGTTTCACCCTTGACAGCAAGAACTGCAATTAAGCATTTTTGATAACTGGTAAATGGTAAATGCACTGGTTCTTTCATAAAGCTTTTCTACTCTACCTGAGCACTCAAAGCACTTTATAAAACATACCTCATTCACCCATTTCTTTAGCTCATGTCACCCATTCATTCAAGCATTTTTCAAGTACGTTCTGTCTAACATTCACACACATTCATTCTCTGATGAAAGCAATGGAGAGCAACAGTCAACCGATTCTTTTCCGTAAAAGTCTTTTGGATTGTCAACATGTTTTTTGGCACTTTTGTTTCGTTTCGATCAGTAGTTGTTTTCGCCTTTGAACTTTCCTATGGAGGCTGTTTTTGCCCAGTCTCTTTCTTATTGTTGAATGATGAACACTGACCTCAACTGAGCCAAGTGAGGCCTGCAGTTTGTTACATGTTGTTCTAGGTTCTTTTGTGATGTTTTGATGGAGTTCTTGATGCACTCTTGGGATTTATTTGATAGGCTGGCCACTCCTGTGAAGGGTACCATTGTTTCAAGTTTGATCCACTTGTGGATAATGGCTCTCAACATGGTTTGTTGGAGTAGCAAAACCTTAGAAATGTCTTTGTAACTGTGTCCTGACTGATAGATGTCAGTGACTTTGTTTCTTGTCTGTTTCCTGTGTTGTGTTGCTGGTGATCTGGTGGAAGTTAAGAGGTTAAGCTATTCAAGTTTTGGCCAAACCTGCATTGAGAACTACACATTTCAAGTTCAGGAAATGCATACCAAAACTACTCCAAAAAACAAAAGCACAATTTCTGCCATCTTTTGTTTATTTTTTTTGTTTTCAATATGAGTTAAATTATTTAATGAATGGGTAACACACATAATACACAGTCTTAATTAAGAGCAAAGTTACCATCTTCCATCTGTTATGGCCTATCTCCTGCTTTTATTTGGGACTATAGGCCACATGAAGATGTTAGTCTAATCATGGAAACTGTAATAGATTGAAGATTTGCTGGGCTTGTTGAATTAAAAGCATTCAGTTGTGGAACAAAAAGGCGGTTTTAAAGTTAGAAGTCTGACCTTTGCCTGACATAAAATAAGGTCAAGCACACAATGTTTCCTTGCATTTTTGTCTCGTCGATATTCTATTTCCTTTTGTGTCAGCGATTTCCTCCTCACACTCTCATGAATTTCTGTGTCAACAGATGAGTTTTCACATCTGCGGCACAATGATGCAATGGTAGCAGATCCTTAGCAGACACACTTGTGCCGATGAGCCAGGCATGAGTGAAAGGGTAAAGATTTCAGGGTATGACTAATTTTCCTATCAACTCCCATCTCACTGATTATGTAAACACAAAAAACTTGTGCTCAACTGGACAGACACCCCTCATTTCCCTTCCACCGTGCATTTTCACTCAGAACTGTGTTTCCTTAAGGGAATTACTGCAATCAAGAATAGATGTATAACACTGAGGCTCTTTACTGGCTACATTCCTGCCCCTGCCAGTTAGAATCAAACAGAGCAAAAACTGCTAAATTAAAGAAGCTTTTAGTATTTCTATTCAAAATGTAAGTGCTAGAAAGTGAAAATTAACCTTTGCAACCCTATCTGGAACCCCTCAGTTTAATAGCTTGATACCATTGTTTCCCCAGATTTATTTTTTTGGATCCTACCTAACGGTAAAAAGCCTATTAATTGAATTTAGTCATTCCAGTGTTGGAGGGCTTTACATCTGTCCCAAACACTCAGGCTGCTGAATAAAGCGTGAAAAATGACCATCTACCCCGGAGCCAGTAAAGTCTGGAAATTGAGTATTTAATGACGGCTGAGTTATTGCAGTTCCAAAAGTTTTTGTCCTGCACCA